CCGGGGGAAACGGAGCTCATGTTGCCAACGTGTTTGTCTTTGAAAAACCATGGAAGCAGCCGCTGGTCTCCGTGGTAACGGCTGCTGTCGTTCTACCAGTGGTGGTATTTATGATTAAAGGTTGTTTTATTACAACAGTAGAGACTCGGTGCCTACCATGATTTCTCTCAGCTGCACTCACACAGGAAGTCAAAACCTTGGCGGCGCCAGATCGTAAACATCCATGAAGTGAGTGTCATGTCGGATTTATTGTCAGTTCATTGGGTAACACTTTGTCTAGCAATATATCTGTGGAAGCACCACAGCGTCATCAGATCCTCTTGTGTGTTTGCTGCTTGGCGGCTCAGATAGACCAGGAAACCTTTTTGAACCTGTTTGAAGAAGCGCTTGGTTTAACCTCTTAACAGCCTCAAAAGTGGAGAAAAAAAATCACGCGGTACAACAAGCGCTTCTGCCGTTTTCTTTCTTAACTTCCTTTTTCTTTAAAACCTTCAAACAAAGAACCACGAGTCTCATTGAAAAGACGCCACAACACAATCAAGTCTCAAATTGACGCACTGCTCCTGCCTACACTCTCAGATATGATGGAAACTAATCATCCTGGTGTGGTTCTTTGTCTCTGGGTTTCTTTGTTTCCTGGTGTATTTGTTGCCGGATCGCTATTTGCTCTGCCTTCTGCTTTCTCACATCAGTGTTTTCTGTCGGTTCAGTTCTGTTTTACTTAATTTTATTTTTTCATTGTTAAAGGCCAGAATTTTAAAACAAAAAAATCCAGTTAAAAATTTTAATTGTTTGTTCATTTGTCAGAGCTGTACTGTTTACACCACCTGTCTGAATACTGACTGTACATATGAATCAGTTGTTTATCCCAGCTGCTTACAGAAGTAAATTTCACTGATAAGACCTGTGGTGCTAATATGGCTTCAAATTAAAACCTGCCATGTTGTTTGCTGCAGCAGCTATTGTCACATTTAGTGATGGAGGTTAATAGAGCTGTCTGTCAGTGTTGAGTTTTCTGTGGTGTGTAACTGGAGGTCCAACTCTGACATGAAAACCTCAACATAAAACTTTTCAGTCTGTGTTAGTAACTTGCTCAGAAAATTCTGCCTCTGCCTCCCTTAAAAGTTGATATTGTTGTTATTTTGTTTCTATTGTTTGCAAAACCCAAATTTAGACCCAAACCAACACTGTGTTAGTCCGTCTCTCCACACTTTGTCTGTGCCTCCTGTTGGTTCCTACTGAAGATGTAAAACTTTCATTTTCAGAACAGGCTCAGTAATTTCCAACAGTGGCTGCTCACCGTAGTTTCTATCAAGCAAACAGGAGGAGACATTTGTCGGACTATTTTCTGTGGCAGATTAATCCACATTTGGAATGGGATTTGAAGACATTAAGAAACACGTATAATATCACCATTCTGATTTAACCCATTTGTCGTCAATACTTTACTTGCTGACTGTTATCAGACTGTTTCACATTTTATTTTGTGTATTTTTCCTTCAGTGGTTTAAGTTAATTTCTATTAAAATCAACTTGCAGAGATTTGAAACTTGGTGCTGCAGAGAGATTATCCATCACATGGATCATTGTATCTGCTTTCATTTTATCTTTGTGTGATAATACAGTGCAGACTGTGAGAGGAAACACATTGTTCATTTGAAAATGGTTGTTTTGTCAGACATTTTAAAAAAACACTTGTTCAGAGGATATGTTGGACTCTGCTGAGTTACACCTGAAAGACGTTACAGGTGTGAATGTTTTAGACACTGAGTTCTTCATGGATGAATACGTTAAAACAGACAACACCTTTACCCAGAAATCAAAGGGACCAAATGTTTCCTCAAGCTCAGCTCCTTTCTGTTAGTTCTGGTTCGTCAGAGTCTGAGAAGTTTAACCAGTTATTTAACCAGACAGGTGAGCATTTACCTGCCTGGTTCAATAAAGCACACGTATGACAGTTTTTCAGTCTTAAAGTTCTGGCCTAGTAGAGGAGTGTGACAGGAAGAGTAAAGGGAGGAGGCAGGCTGAACCTCCTCTGCTGAACATTTCCAGTGGTCCCATGCCTCATTCTCAGACCTTATTAATGGAGAGGCTGCAAGGGGAGGGACCCAGTGGCCTCCTCAACCAATAGGCTAAGAGAATGAGCTAAGGAGACAGGAGGTTCAGGGATTCTCTCAAAAGTGTCCTGCCACTGATGGATGTGATCTGTGTTAGAACAGACTTGTGTTTCTCAGATCTGATGTTTTCATGGTTAAGGATCAACATCGAAAGTCTTAGAATGCCCCCCTTTCTTAAAAATGGTACTAAGGTAATGTCCCAAAGTTAATAGAAAAAAGGTTTACGTCACCAAAAACTGAAAGTTCATGCTAATTTCATATAAAACATCATTTTTCAGGGATGAAGTAATTGGTTAAATTAAAGCTTTTCTGCAGCAATGGAAAGAAATTAAGCCTTGAAAGTTTTTATTGGGTTTTGGACTGTTGATCGGACAAAACAAGACATTATATAGCTCAAACAGTTAGTCTTCAGATTAGGCAACAACTATAAAAATATTTGTCAGTTGCTGCCTTAAAATTAAGGAGAACCTTAGTTTTCCAGACAAAGAAGAAACTATCTTCTTTTTCTTGGAAAGCTATGAAATTGGAGACATCACAAACAAACACATGGAGTTCATCTTCAGCTCTGAACCACAAAGGCAAACAGCAACACAAGTAATGAAACCTAGAAAGTTTACATGCATTTTTTGTTTTTGTTTTTTATGTTTATCCCTTAATTCAGGAGAGGATCTAGGTTTGCATAAAACAGTTGAGTTTTAAAGTGTACAAAACAAATATCAGCTCCTGCACATGATCTACACTTATTTGAAAACCTCGTCAGGTTAATACAAACTGAAACACACTGTAGCTGTTCAGTAAATGTACTTTTGGTGTTGACGGTGGGTAGGGATTTTTGTCACTTGGGCTTACTCTCTTCACACCTGTGCTATTACAGGGATGCAAAGATCACTTCTCCTATATGACTGAGTTCTAAGGTGGAAGCCAGACATTGATGAAAAAGTTTGAATTTGTGGAAAAATGTCAGAATTTATAGCTAAAAGTCTGAATTTTGATATTAAAGGGCCACTCCAGTAATTTAGTATTACACTTCCATAAAGCTGGTTGACTTACAAGAGACTGATTAATACATTGATTGTCAAAATTGAAGCAGTAGAAGTTGAAATATCGTGGTTTGCAGAGTGTGTCTCTAGTTCAGGCCAAGTTCCAAAAAACACTGGAAAATACATTTCCCAGAGAGCAACTTGATACAGGATGTAATACCACTGTTTTCACAAGTTGAGTTGAAGTAACAATGACAAGTAAACTAATCTTTATGTGTAAAATGGCGTAGCTGCCCTTTAAAGTCAGTTTCTGTAAGAGGATTTGAGAAGCGTCGGTTTTTATAGAAAAGTCAGAATTGAGTCAAAATTGAGTTCATTAGGGAAATTGGTGGGACAAAAGTCCCACTTTTGAGTATTAAAAAAATCTGATATTTGCCTCATAATACTGACTTCATCACAGAACTCAGAATTCGTACTGTTTTAATTAGTTGAGGTAATTTTTGTATGATTTAACGTCTCGCAAAATTAAAACACATCATACATCACCTCTTCTTCAGTACACCATACTGTATACATGCTGAATACAACATGATGTCTTGGAGACGAGTATTGTAATTTCGAAGACTATTTAAAGTTTTTTTTTGTTGTTTTGTCTTTTCAGTACAGACATTCAGGTTTTTTGTTGCTTGAGAAAAGCCATTCTAACTGGATGTATTCAGCCTCACATTAATATTCTTGATGTAATGGATGTTGATGCTTTATTAAGAGATGCACAGTTTTGTATTTTGGTGTAAAAAATGGAAAAAAAACAAAAGGATCATTCTCATTTTCAGCTCAGTGAAGTTCAGTATCCCCTCATTTTAAATATATTGTACCTGAAACGTTTTTCTTTTTTCTTTCTCTTTCTCTCTCTGGTTGTATTTGTGCAGGAGGTCGTTTCACGGCTCCGACTGTATCTATTTTATTTGCAATAAACTTTTTGGTGTTTTGATCACCGTATAGAGAAGCATAACTCTTGAGTTGGGTCTGCTTCTTTGATGCCAAATCAATAATGTCTTAAATAAAGACAGTCTACAGAACTACAGAGGAGCTAGAATAGATCCCTGAGGAGTGCCACATTTAAATACACTATTTGAGACTTCCAAGTTCAATGCATACCTAATTGTGATATTACACCACTACTGAATATTCAATGTTGAAATTAAAATACCACTGAATTCTTAGAATTGAAATTTCCACAATGTCATTCCAAAAACATTTTATTCATATTTTTGTTTATTTGGGTTCACAATTCCATAAAGTTAAACGGTCAAATGGTTTAAAAAACATTATTTTATATGTATATATTATTTATTATATATTACAGATAGATTAATGTTATATTGTTGTATTGTACTATTGTTCTGATGAGGTGACAGGCCTCTGAATATATAGATACTGAGTTTCCAGAGGAAACAGTTTAGCTGAGGATCCTCTTAATGCAAATATTTTTTTTTCCAGGTTTCAAAAACTCAAGATCACAAAACCAGGAATTACAGATTATTAAAGGTGGAGTTGGTGATTTGATCCAGTGGGATCTGTCTGGTATTATTATATTACAGTCACAATATGTATTGCTTGCTCATTCATCCATTTGTTTGTTTACTTAGCAGGCAAAATTAAGTTTATTAGGCTTTTATTCTGAAAAACGACCAGAAGTCTTGCCATAATTTCGGCTGGGATATCGAACATTCCATTATTTATTTGTTTACTTACTTTTTTGTGGATTTGAATATTTACTATTATTATTTAGTTACTTATTGAGTATTTTTGGGGCAAAATTAAGTGTTTTGACATATTTCAGTGCACAAGACCTTTATTCTGAAATAGTAATAGCCGGAAACACTTTCAGGGGTTCCGGCTGCCGGTGCAGACGGAACAAAACGGACCCAGGTTCCGTGTGGGAGCTCGTCTTCGAGCTGTTTTAACCTTTCAGTTAAATATGGGGGAGGCAGATGTGACGCTGAATCAGACTGACGAGAAGCCTCCGGACTCGGGGCTGGTTTCAGGGGAAGACTCGGTGGTGTGGAGCCACGAGGTGGAGGTCTGTCTGTTTCACGCGATGATCGGACACAAACCCGTCGGTAAGAGACGCGGCTAACGTTAGCATGTTAGCTGCTGAAGCCGTTAGCAGCGGCCAGTTCTGCCGGTTTAACCCAGCGTTTCACTAACTGAGGACTGGGGACATGGACGTGACTATGCACGGTCCCTGTAAATAGTGTAAAATAACGTTAGTTTGCTACCACTGGTGATGAACTAGTTAGCCTACATGTCTTCTGTCAGTGTTCTAGTTACAACTGATTACTAACGTTAACCAGCCCCCCTTCTACTGAGGAGACGAACACAATCATCAGTCCGTCAACACTGAGCCAAAACTTTATTTATAAGAAGTAAAGTCCTGTTGTAGGCGCTACAAGTAAAGACAGGATGCTTTGATTATAACACACACACATGACTGGTTTTATTCATCAGTGAACTTCATCAATCTAAAGTGCAGTAAGCAGGAAAAACCTAAACCAGATCAAGAATTGCTGAGACCCCTCTTTGCCTTTAAATCAGCTTCAGTTCTCCAGGTGAAGTGTGAGGTTTGTTGTTCCAGCATCTTGGAGAACCTACCTCAGTTCATCTATCTCTTCATGTGATCCCATACTGAGTCCATGATGCTATGACCAGGGCTCTGTGGGGTCCAGACCATTTGCTGCTGGACTGATCAGACTCCTGATGGTTCCTGATGGTTTAGAAACTAAACATCTTCAGTACCTAAAGCTTTCACTCAGTAATGTGTCTCCAGATGTGGTTTGTTACTTAAGCTTTGTGTGTTGATGAACTTGTGAACTCTGCAGATAAGTTCAGACTGACATTTTCTCAGTAATTGATTGATTGATCAGTGTTTACACTGCTTCATTTGTGTCTGAACAAAAATCAAAACCCACCCAGTATTTTGAGTTTACTGTGATAGAAAACTGAGAAACAGCAAATATTCACTTTTGAGAAGTTGTTACCAGAGAATTTTTACATAAAGAAATGACTTGGCGCATGTTCCTGAATACATTTTTGTATTTAATCAGATCACCACAAATCAGCTGATGAAGTGAAAATCTCAACCATTAAATCAGTAGAAAAACATATTTCTGTCTGAAGGTTAATGAGCACTGATGACGATGAGGAAGTACGTGAATGAAAAAATGGTATACTACAAATATTAGTACTGGATGTACATACTATGAACAGTTTGTGAGCAGCTTGGAATTATAAAGTATATCTCTCTCTCTCTCTCTCTCTCTCTCTCTCTCTCTCTCTCTCTTTCCCCCTCCTTCCCCCACACTCCCTCTGTGAAGGAGTGAACCGTCACTTCCACATGATCTGTATCAGAGACAAGTTCAGTCAGAACATTGGTCGGCAGGTTTCTTCCTCCGTCATCTGGGATCATCTGGGGACCATGTATGACATGCAGGCTCTGGTGAGGACACACACACACACACACACACACACACACACACACAGTCAGTAGTCAGTCAAATACCAAAGGTTTCATAGATGAACAGCTCAGTATACAAACACTGTGTGTGTGCATGTGCGTGTGTGTGTGTGTGTGTGATGCAGCACGAGTCGGAGATCTTGCCGTTTCCAAACACAGAGAAGAGTTTCTCTCTGCCTGATGACATCATCCAGGAAGTGAAAGAAGGTGAGACTTGAATCATAAGTTGTGTCCCAATTCAGGACCCGCATCCTTTGGAGGACACGGTCTACGAAGGTGTGGCCCTTCAAATGTAGCCTCTGAAGGATGCGGCCCCTGAATTGGGACACAGCTATAACCTGTCTGTAGTTTTGGCGTTGGTGTTTGGCAGATAGTTTAACCTCCTCCACAGTAATAATTGCTGAGATCTAAGGATACAGCAGGTTTTCTCTGGTCTTCTGGTCTCGTCTGCAAAACACCAATCGCTGCTATTATTTATTTGCTGTTGTGTGTAGATGTGCATGTTGTAAGTGCCACAAACATATTCTCCTGGCTGTATCATTGTAGTCACAGTAACAGTTGCTTTGTGGATGGTAATGTCTGTTAGTCAGTCCACCTCTGTGGTTCACATTGAAGCATCTCAACAACTGTTGGACAGATTGTGATTAAATGTGGTTCAGACGTTCCTGTTCCCCCCAGGATGAACTGCAATAACTTTGCTGCTCCTCTGACTTTTTATGTAGAGCCGCCATCAGGTCACATTTTAACTTGTCCAAAGTTGGTTTATGACCAAATACCTGCAAAACTGCAGCTTTTGGTCCTCTAAGCAGCCGCCCCATGTGTAGAGGCTACAGTCCTCGCTGTAGTTGGCCCCGGTTCGAGTCCCGCATCGGACGGCCCTTTGCTGCATGTCATTCCCCCTCTCTCTGCCTCCCCATTTCCTGTCTCTCTACTGTACTATCAAATAAAGGCATAAAAAAGCCCAAAAAATATACTTAAAAAAAACCATAAAAGAAATAGTTCAATCCTACTCACAGGGGATTTAAAGGTTAATTGTGTGTGTGTGTGTGTGTGTGTGTGTAGGGAAGCTGGGCTCAGAGGAAGACACCAAAGAGGAGTTCAGGATGGAAAGAGAACCTCCAGCTACACATGAAGAAGGTACCATCCTGTCTGTCCCCTCTTCTCTCTTTAATCTCAGTAGGATGACACCATGGTAACTGAATCCATCGACTATGTACAACATCCCTGTTTACTGCAGACCTTTCCTCCATGTCACATCCATGTTTACTACTGAGCAGTCTTCTTCTTTCCTGCTTTTGCTGCTGCCTGATGATCATTGTAATGTTGTGAAACCACTGTCACAACGCTGCATTTTGTCACATGTACGAGATAAGAACACTGAGTGCTCACAGAGCTGACAGAACAGGAACTCAACAGGGATCCTTTAAGGCTGTGGAGCAGTTAGACCAGAACAGGTGTGACCAGATAACTTTCCTGCTGCTGAGACAGAAAGGAAATTCTGCCATCTGACACTATAACAAACCATTCTGTTTCAATTCTGTTGACCTACAGACAGTAAGCTTTTATTTTGGAAAAAAAAACCCAACCAGGCTATAAAGTCAACTGGTGGTACAGATGAAACATGAATTTATTTGTTTAATTACTCAATCACTTAATTTCTGTCAGGGCTCTGCTCTGTGCTGCCACAACATTCACAGCTGTAATAATAATTTCTCTTCCCTCTTCCTGGGGGACATTTTTATGAATGAAACTTGTCCACAGACAGAGTAGAGCAGGCGGCTTTATGGAGCAGTTTGTGGCATCAGTTACTCTTATGATCAAATCTCAGAAACAGGAACCTCACACCAGTTAAAGAGCTGGGGCCAGTTGTACAAAACACATTAAGTAAGTATAACACTTGAGGTTTAAATTTTCCTTAGCTGAGGGAGTTACTTAAGGGTGTTGCACAGAATCTCTTAAAAGAAATTTACAGCAGGGAAAGACATTTTACAGCAGTAAAGTTCTACTGTTTTTCCATGGAGACCATTGTTTTGCTGGCATTAGCTTGTGATACCTGACTGCCAATCAAACCTGTAATGTAAAATTAATTCCTCATCATTAAGCGTGTCCATTGGGTTCTCCCTCTCTTCTTGGGATGTTTTAATTTTCTTCATTTATCCCCATAAACTTGTTCATGTTGCAGTTAAGAGATTTTAAGGAAAATTTTAATTAAACCTGTTTTGTGCAACTGGCTTGTTGATCTCAAGTGTTTCCTCTCTCCACAGGCAGTAACTCATCGGTGAAGATGTCTGAGCGAACGAGCAGCAGTCGAGACAAGGAGAGGGAGCGGGACAAGGAGAAGGGAGGGAGTGAAGGAGGAGGAGGAGGAGGAGGGAAGGAGGCGGAGAAGAGGAAGAGGAGTCGGGCGGCTGAGAAACTGCTGTCGTCTTCCAACCCCGCGAGTCCAGGAGGAGTCAAGAGGAGACGCACCTGAGAGACGGAGGGAGAGAGATGGACAGAGTGTGAGAGGTAGTAAGAGAGAGAGAGAGAAAGAGGTGCTTGGACTGTGCTGAATGAAAAATAAACGAGTGAAGAAGAAGAAGAGAAGAAGTAGGTGCCGTCAAACCTGCCAAGCTTTGTGTCACATGACCGCCCGCTGTCTGATCACCACGCCGCCAACAGAAAACAGAGCGTCGTCGTGGTGTTCATGTAGAGAAGAAAACATTCATCTCTCTGTTCCGTTCACTCCACGGCTTCTGTGATTGGCTGCTGTCAGTCAGCATCTGCCGCTTCGTCTCATCGTGATCACAGTGGGAGGAAGTGACATGTTCGTTTTTTTAAATCTGTATTTTTATTTTATTGTTGTATTAGAGGAGGCTGTAATTGTCACCTCCCCCCACTTTTTCTGTCAGTTGGATTCACTCATTTTTGTGCACTCGCAGCAATAAGCTTCAAACCAACCTCCACAGATGTAGCACCAGAGTCACTCTGTTTCATTCCACACACTCTTCTCCTGTCAAAACTTGGTGCCTACATTACCCACAATGCAATTCGACCACTGACAGAGATTAGGGTGTGTTATGCTAGTTGGTGCTAATGTATCTTGGAGCCTTTTATCAGTGATGAAGGGGGGGGGGGCTGCACTCACTTCCCTCTAAGTCCACAACCCCAGACTTTACTCTTCAGACCCGACCAACGCTGACTCAGGTGACATCATCACCTGAGGACGTTCATCAGACTTCACTCAGCTCCCTCTGAACACAAAAGGCTTCATATTACTGTTGTCACTCATGCAGTCGACCTGTCTAACACCTGGAAACAACTGGAAACACTCCGCAGTGCTGTAGCAGCAGTGAGTAATTCCACTCTTTTTCTACCCTGGGTTTTGCCTGTCAGGCAGGTTGTTGTAGCCATAACTGCAGACAAGACTAAAGGGTGAAAAAAGTCCTGCCTTCTTCTGTGTATGCCAGGAAATCATGAAATCTGTTGTTATTTGAAAACGTCAATAAAAGATGAAGCCCAATGCTGTTTGTGGAAAACGTTCAAACTCTTCATGATTTCTCAGCCACAGAAACGTTGTTAACAGGTTTGGTGCAGGAGTCGTCTCTGTTGTGTTAACCCAGAGCAGGAGTCAGGTGTTATCCAGACCAGAGGTGAGACTCGGTTCATGTTAAAGTCTGATCAGCTGATGGAGAGAGGCATTTGATTTAATATCAGTTCTGTCACTGTCAGCAGTTCAGTGAGGATCTGACGCATGAAGCTCTGAGGTTGTAAACATCTGCTTAGTGTGATGACATGAGTCCCAGCTGTTCTATTATTTTCTAAAACAGACGTTACAGTTGTTTGTCTGAGAGGAGACGGCAGCATCAATGGTGATGTTCAGATTAATTGTATTTTTTTTTCCTGTTTTTCTGTTTTTCACAGTAACATGAAGCTTCAGTTTCATCAAACACGATCAGCTGAGCAGTTTGTCAGCTGATCATTAACATCTGGAAGCCATGAAAATAAAATGTTCACTCTGATTTTTTAATGACGTGTTAATTTATTGATGATGATGATGATGATGAGCTGATACATGAGGCTGTTTGTGTCATTAAAGCTGAAGTCAGATCAGTGACGTCTCTGTTTATTCTTCAGCAGAAGAAAGTGAGTATTTTTCATTTTCTACTTCTCTACGTTTCAGAGAGAAATATTCTAGTTTTTATTCCACTCTACTTTTTTCTTCTGCTTCTTCTTGAACAAACTAAATATAAGGTTATTTAAAAATAAAGATGATGAGTTTATATAGATTATCCCCACAGCGCTGTGCAAACTACTTAAAATGATCTCTGACCAGCTACAACATTAAACTGCTGTTCATGCATTAATTCATTAATAATAGTAGAGTTGCAATGATGAATCGATTAGTTCACCATTTTTGACTTGGAAATTATGAGAATTTCCAGTGTTTTGTGACAATAGAATATAATATTGTCCACCAGGGTGGAAATTTGTCTTTGGCTCATCAAGCACTAAACAATATAAACAGAACAATTAATCATCTAATTAAGAAATAGTCAGATTAATTCATTGATTCAATCAGTTGCAGCCTTGAATAAGTAGAATTATAACTCTTCTGTTATGTTTGATTCTTTAATTAAATCTTTCTTTGAAGACTTCTTTGGTTCGACTTGAGTAAAACTTTTAATACAGAACTTTTACTTCTTATTCTGCCACTTTCACTGTTTCTATTTCTACATAAGTAAATTATTTAAATGCTACTGACAGCACTAACAACAGGAGAGATCACCGGAAATTGTCACATCTATATGGCTTCACAGCTGGTGAAATAAATGTTTAAATTTATTTAAAAAATATTTATTTTAGACCAGAAAATGTCAAACAGGAGGATTCATAAACAGGACTGCAGGGGCAGGAAACAGGAAGTTAGAACTGAAGTGATTTTTTTCACCATTTTGTTACTTAAGATTCTGTTTATTCTGTGTTAAAGATGGTATAAGTGAATTTATTTTGGATTTTATTCTCAGATGTGATGGTGAGGAGTGATGTTCAGCAGTCACAGGTCAGTCTCCCCGGTGAAGCTGCAGTGTCTCTGAGCAGCCACAGGGGGGCGGTGTCCACCTGCAGGGGGAGAGAAACACAGCTGGTTCTCAGCTGCTCATTCTGAGATCAGTCATTCACTTAGTTGAACCATTAAGTTTCTAATTCATCAGCTGATCGAAGCACAGACCTCATGGATTAAGGCAGACTGTCAAGCATCTTTCTTTTATGCTGCATTCACTGTCACTGTTCCCTACAGAGTTTAAAGTTGAAAGATCCTTTGCAGCAACATCCGTTTGCTGCTTTTTATCTGCAGCCTAAATTGACGCGATACTGCTGTAAATTAACAAGTGGTTATTTCAAAAAATTTATAAATTAGTCACATTTCCACTTCCTGCTCCTGCTGTGCTCCTCATGCAGCCTGGTTACAACAGCAACAAAAATTACCATTTAAACTCATTATGATAATTACATCATTTAAATCAGACTGAGGCACAGATAACAAGCTGCAGCTGTTTGACCAGGAAGAAGAAAGAAACAGACTGACTGTCATTTCACCAGGACAGACTTCAATTAAAATTTCTGCTTTGAGACAGTTTCTGCCAAAATTGAAAAATAATTATGTTTCACCAACAAACAGAAGCAACATTCACGCTCACAGAATCCAGAGCTAAATCGTGTAGAAGAGAGTGGCAGATGTGAATTGATCTGTGTGTGTCAGACAGGTAAAGGTCAGACAAAGGTCACAGTCAGTGAACAAACAGTTTTAAAGGTCTGAGAACTGCAGGAGTTCAGCTTTTATCTGTTTGTTTGGCTCAAAACCTTCAAACAAAAAAAATCTATTGTCTAATATAATATTAAAGCCAATTATATTCACTGTGGCTCAGTTATATTTACTTTTTTTTTTTTTACAGTTATATATATGATACATTTTTCATCTTTGCTGTCACATGATAATGTTGATAATATTAAGGATGATGTTTTCCTGTTGGGGCTGAAGTTACTATTTTAAAATAATCTATACACAGATAATTCATATTATCAAATAATCTAAAAGTTATTTTTTTATATATTCAGTCAATGATACTGGAGGATGAAAACTATAAATATTCCAATAAAAAGGCTGAAACCCCCAAAAATATTATTATCATTTCTTATTATCATCATTAATTATTATAAGATTCCAGGTTCAATGTTCATCTTTATTGTCTTTCTACAAAACAGGACTGGACAATAAGCTACTCCATGCTACATGCAATAAGATCTGATGCTTGTTTGAACACATCATGTAATTTACTGCCCTCTTGTGGCAGCAGCAGGGTATTATATCTCTGAAAGCGAATTTAACTTTCAGCTGTTGTAACTATCGTTTCTGTCATTTTCGTGGGTGTGACCGTGTCCTACTGATGAGAACTGGAGCTTGTCAAGCGGAAAGGACAGTAGTCGTTTGTGTTTCGATATTTGCGCATGCGCAATGAGGATAATCCTGGACTTGCAGGTGAATAGCTATAGTCAACGTGTGCTCGTCAAATTATCCTTGACGCAGCTTCTACCGTCTGAGATCAGTTATGATATTGCAGCACTACATGCATGTTCATGAGTGGGAACTAAACTTGCGTATTAAGCATTAAGAGGCAGCAGTAGCAACAAAACAAGCAAATTACACTGATTTATCATCTCCGTGCAAGCTCAATAAGTTTGAGACAGGATGTTGTTGCACATGAAGCGCAGCTCCTTTCAGGAATAGCTCAGTACGGAGGTTATGTGCGTAGCGGGCGAGAGACAGGGGTGAAGCAAACGACCGGAGCAGAGAGTTAGCTAGTTAGTTAGCAGTTAGCAGTACAGCCCTGATGTGATTCCTGTGCACTTTGGGCTGTTTGTGCTGCAACTACAGCTACAACTCCTCAAGACCGAAGTTCCCGCGTCTCCGCCGTGCTTCAACTATAGGCCAGACACTGAGCCAAGAAAGACTAACAACGCTGAGACAGGTAAATACAGGGTTCTGCCTTGTCACTGGAATGTGTCTGTCAGTTAAAAAACTGATAGATTTCCTCTATACTGCACATTTGATGTTTACTGGCAGTTCAGAAAAATAATCCTAAAACTTCTTCAGCTTGGAGGAAGGAAAGTGAAGATGAGCATCAAGATGGAGGAGAGAGACTTTCAGCAAAGGAAAGACAGACATCACAAAATCATGAGACAGAAGAGGCCCTGAATTTAAGAGAGACATGCTACTGCCATGAAAAGGTATGTTTTGGTCTGCTCGATTTATTTGACATTGGTGTAGTAACAGCTGAATCACAAATGTGGAAATTTGCCCCTGGCTTCACAGGCTGGTTAAAACACAGCACTGTGACTCACAAACAATAAATACAATATTAAATTAGCACAACGTGCACAGTACAAACAGCAATAACCAACATCATTCCAGTGTGAATGATGCTTATGGGTTCAACAGTTATTGCTTTAGCATTAGGACTTTCTGTAAATGTTCGTGGTTGCTGTTTCGGCTCTACAGCGTCCTCTCAGGGGCAGTTTTGTGAATTCTTTAAAAAGGGGATGAACAGGATCAGACACAATTTGTCGAGCTTTCCGTTTCACCTGCAGTCTGTATGTGCACTCCAGTTGTTTCTGCTCTTTCCCAATAATTTTTCTGGCTGTGTTTGTAATCCTGGTCAGTCCGTTTTTGTTCTTAGACCCCAAATATATATATATATATATATATATACTGTATATTTATATGTTCATGCTTGACGCCAGGTGAAGTTGATCATCTGATTACAGGTGTTGGAATCAGGTGTGGTGGCTGTGAAGCTCCTGTGGGACGTGGGTGGACATGAATTAAGTTAAACCATTGAAAACGTGATGTAGATGAACCACGAGAGTGAGTGACATCAGGAGGGGGAGGAGTTCTGACAGAGGGACGTTTTCACACCTGGACACAGACCGGTTCACCTTCATTGCCAGATAACGTGAGTCCGACTCTCTCTGTCTGCTGCTTCTGTCTGGATGTTAATGTCCCGCCCTGGTTCTCTGTGCGTTCACCTGCTCACTGTGAAGCTGTGTTAGATGTTGCTGTGATGGAGGTTGTGTTGTGTTTGTGTGGTGACTGAAGCTGCAGTGTTGTAGCTGCTGGGACAGAGCGTGTCTCATAGTGAATGTGTTTGATTGTGAACGTGTGTGCAGGAGCCTCCAGCTGCTCTTCAACACTTTCTTCACTCTGCCTTTGTGTGCTGTAAAATGACTCATTAGCTTTAATAAGCAGAAGACTGCAGGTCCTGTCAGACACTTTTTATATGGCAGCTTTATTTATACCCAGGCAATCCAAAGAGAAGCATTAGACTAACACTCAAACAAAAAGCAATAAAAAACAGTTTTAAATCAATTAAAATAGAATAAAATGAGATTAAGAAAATGATCAAATGAAATAAAATCCAGAACAGACAATTACAGTGCAGTAGGAAGCTGTAAGTTGTTGTAAGGAAATAAAAACTGGATGTGTTGTGAGGACATTTTAAAGGTCAAAGGTCAACTTCACTGTGACGTCATAATGTTCTTTAAATCAGGAAGAAGAGACTGATCATATTTACTGTGATGTGGCTGGTTGGTGGAGGAATCAACCACGAGGTGTTTATTCTAGTGTTCAAGTAGTCGAGCTGAAGAAAATTACATTTCTACCATGTTTGTGTCCCTGTAACTTTGGTTCAGTGTCTCGTCTCCTCACTGAGACTTCCTGGTTGTAAAATGTAAAGAGTTTCCTCAGAGGAGACCAGAATGTGATCAGAAGGGTTGAGGAACAGTAGCTGTTTCATTTTGGGAAACATCATATATTCTGACTTTAAGCCTCATTTTTAGATGACTGGTTTCCCTTCTTCCCTGCAGCTTTTTTTTTCCCTCCACACTGCACCACTGATAACCTGGTCCCAGTCTGGCCTCTGGTTTAAGTGGTCTGTTCCACCACCTGCTCTGGTGAAAAATCATAACACAAATTTACACAGTGACAGATAGAGTGGGACTTTGATACTGAAAACCTCGACTCTGCTCAGGAAAGGAAAATGGGATTCAGCGTGTAC